CAAAATTTTAATATATTTACAAAATAGATAAATAATTTTGATTAATATTAACTTGCAATGAACAAGTATACGACAATTTCGATTATTTGGTTCAAGTAATCTCATTACAAGGCCAATCATTGAATGACAATCAATTGGTACATGCTTATCGATAAAATTAGGATAATGGTATTGTTCACAATTGTAAACAGAACCTGTTAACTAAATAAATCATATTTAACTATTTAATTATCTTTTTTTTTTATTTTACCTTTGATTTAATACGTAAACATCGACCAATATAACGATATGCTGGAATAATAGCTGTTGTACGAATTTTATAAAATTTTGTTTCAATAACAACATTTACTTTTTCAGAAAAATATGCTGCATGTTCTTGCTAAAGTATTTTTTTTTGTTTTTATAAAAAATATTTTATAAATAGAAGACCAAAACAAAAAAAAATTAAAATAATTAACTAACTGCATAAATACATGTTAGTGGATCGTAACTAAATGAAAGCATAACAATCACTGTTATTTGTTGTTCAACAATCATTTCTATAAAATCATCAATCGTTTGTTCAGTAGGTCCTAAAAATAGAAATTGAAATTTTTGTTGAAAATAAGAATCTTTTAACCTTGAGCTGCATAAAAGATTCTTGACGTAGATGCTGTAGTGATTTGATCCTATAATAAATCAATAACTAAATATTTCGAAATAGTTTGTTTTTGTTTTTGATATATTTCATACCGGTAGAATACAACGTATAATTGATGCATTAATATAATCAGAATCATCATTCGTTTGATTATTGATTTTTTTCTTCAAAGAGACTCGACAAAAATCTTCATCATCTAAATTTAAATAATAATTATAAATTATAAATAAAAATATTTCTATTATTTTGACATGGATAAATTAATGGATAACGATTTTTAGATTTATTAATTGGATTTGTTGCAATAGTTATACGTTTTTCATCCATCTTTCGAAGAGTCTAATAATAATGAGGAAAAAGATTTTATTATTATTTTTTTTTAAATAAAAAATTTAATTGAAAATATAAAACAAACATCAAATTCTTGTTTAAGAAGAATACTATCATTTGCAGTTAATGTTCGCCATTTTTTAACTACTTGGTTAACTGAAAAATCATATTGATGTTGATATAAATCCATGTATGTGTGTATACTACGGTTTTATATTTTGATTGCAAAAGAAATAAGAAAAGAAACAGTTATAAAGATTGTAAATTTTAACCAGACATCAATGATAAGCATATCTATACTAGTAACATATATCAAAATAATATAATTTTTCGTTCTTTTTCTTTTTTTAATACAAAAAATACAGAAAATATTTTTTTCTTAAATAAAATAAAAGGTTAACATATTGTATATCGAATAAATATTCATTATGACGTTAATTTTCTCTATAGATATTTATGGGGAATTAATTAATATGAAATATTTCCTTCTAAGTTGAAAAAAAAATGTTATCATAAACCGGACATTTTCATTATCTTGAAGAAACACACAAACTGCACATTTCAGATGTTTTGACAAACATGAAAACTGACATTGATTTATTTGAAACTCGTCTATGTTTGTAATCATCTCGACTGTGTGCAGTACAGAACGCTAATGGTCGTCATATTGATTATTTCATTAAACAACGAAAAAATAAAGAATTTTGTATCACATTTAGTTTCAACTTTCTCTCATCAATAACTTTTCTCACAGCTATGATCGGTGAAATTTCTTAAATTTAGACGTTTCAACATACAAAAGTTTCTATAATCCTTATTGTTTATTACCAATAAACTCCATTTTTGACGAGCTTTCGTTTGGTATAAAATTCATTAGTTACTCTATTTGAAACTACCGTGGTATCCACTGGCAAAATAGTATTTCCAACCTAGTATATCCCGCTGGTCAAATTAAAGGACATACACCTAATTTTTTTGCTTATTTCGTCGCACCGTTATTATTTGACCTCTTATTCTTATTTTTTTTTTCTAGAATATATAATGCAGTAGACTTACATCTAAGAGAAATTGCTCTGAACTTAAAGTTCTCGATTTGACAACTTTATATAATAGTTGATGTAAAAATACGTTCCTATAGATAGCAGTATTTGTTCACTTACTTTACTTTCGTATATTTATTATGTTCCAACTGATCAATATTTGCTTTCATGTCAGTATGACAATTGATGTCGATTAAGCAAACGTTTCATAGAACGCAAGATTATATGCATTTTAATATCCTTGAGATTTAAATTTCTTTTTTTTTCGGAATTAATTCGAATTATTTAACAAACAAAATCATTTGTAGTATTCTGTATCATGATCAAAAATATATAATAAACTTTCTCAAAATATTCTTTATTGAAACAACTTTTAACAAAAGAAATATTATTTACAATAAAATAAAATATTGATGAAACTGTTTTGGACAAACAAACGGCCCATTTATATCAATACTTTGCAAGTTAGCACAGTTGCAACTTGTTGTATCATTGGTTATATAATCTGTTACAATTGCAAGTGCTTCGTAGTCAATAATAAGTTTGATCACAAGAGTATTTTTCTCGAAGAGAACTGTTCAGCATAATTTATATGTGTATGTCATTCGATAGAATAAAGAAAGAGCTTTTATTTGATATATGAGTCGAAACAAAGAAACTGGAGAAGGCAGACAAACTTGCCATGTGAAAACTGCATAACACAACGCTGTAAGAGATCGGTACTATCGAGTTTTGAAGTAACTGCACGCAGCCAGAATAAAGTCTAATGGTTTAAATCGAACGATAATCAGCTCCTGACATCTGCATTGACTGTTGGAAAAATAATAAATTCAGTTTCAAGAGGGGCTGATTTCGTCGCTTAACGATCTCCCTCCTTTCTTTCAACATCAACTGTTTATCCTTCATTCATAATATATTTTTTATTATTCAGAAACTTTTGATGAATAAGAGTATCATGTCTGCTTTGTGATTCAATATTTCATTCTGACAAAATTAAACAAAAGAGAAGAAAAAAATTCCTTTTTTGCCAAAATATTTACCTTTTTTTTCTTTTTGTGTCAACATTCAATCGATCGGAGAACACTTTTCAATATTTGGATTTTTCCATTTTATAAAATATGTAAGGTGCAGGCAATTCGAAGTTTCAGTAAAAATTTTTTTTCGCGTTTTTTTTACACCATTTGATAGAGCTTGAGCTGCTGATCACGAAAATCTACTTTTTAGCCTTAGCAAATACTTCCTTCCGGTTGAAAAATATGAAATACTTGAGAGGTGTCGTTTTTCGAGAAAAATGAATCCTTTGCAAAAATGTGTCAAATTTTCTATTTTATTCTTATTTTTTGTTTCTGAAAATATTTTTTTCAGATTCAGGATCAAAACTGAGTAGAAATAAATTGTTAAATCGACTCTAGAACCAACATTCTGTTGGTGGGGAAGCTTCGAATAGCGTCGAGTCCACCCTGTATACGTGAATTTTGTAAACCTATCTAGTTTTTCTACGTAAGCGATGGAGCCAAATATTTTGTCTCATTCCGTTTATCATATCACCCCTCAATATCCCTTGTATCGGTTTTTTTTTCTTTCCTTTCCTAAGTTGAGAAAACTCATTTTTACTGAAACTATAGCTATTCTAGGCGGTATTCAATGGTTTTCGAATTCTAAAAAGAGTTTTAGTCGCAAACTAAATGCAGATTCGGAATCAGCATGGAAAATTGAGTCAAATGAAGTGTCTTTCGAGTTAATTTGACAACTTTTATTTTTTCTCAATTTTTCGGATGATATCAGAGAACTGAAGTTCTTGTATACGGGTCAAAAAATGAAAGTTGTCAAATTAACTCGAAAGACACTTCATTTGACTCAATTTTCTATGCTGATTCCGAATCTGCATTTAGTTTGCGACTAAAACTCTTTTTAGAATTCGAAAACCATTGAATACCGCCTAAAATAGCTATAGTTTCAGTAAAAATGAGTTTTCTCAACTTAGGAAAGGAAAGAAAAAGAACCGATACTAGGCGTGTTGAAGGGTGGTATGATAAGTAGAATGAAACAAAATATTTGGCTCTATCTCTTATATAGAAAAACTAGATATGTTTAGAAAATCGACCTATACGTGATACACTCGACGCTATTCGAAGCGCCACCACCAATAGAGTTTTCGCTCTTGAGTCGATTTAACAATTTATTTCTACTCAGTTTTTAATGCTGAATCTGAAAAAATGATTTCCAGAAACAAAAAATACAAACGAAATAGAAAATTTGACACATTTTTGCAAAGAATGCATTTTCCTCGAAAAACGACACCTCTCAAGTATTTTGTATTTTTCAACCGGAAGGAAGTATTTGCTAAGGCTAAAAAGTAGTTTTTCATGATCAACAGTTCAAGCTCTATCAAATAATGTAAAAAAAAACGCGAAAAGAAATTTTTTACTGAAAATTCGCATTGTCGGCAACTTATATAAGGCACATTTAACTAATAAAAGAAAAAAAAATTATTTATTCGTGTATTTTATACAAATGTTACTGTGGATTATTATTTTATTATTAATATTCATACGAACTAAACCGAGCACTTGTTCTATTTCAAATATTGACATAAGAAAGCTACAAAGATCCTTTTGATAGTACATGAATTATTCATTTCAGTTTTTTTTTCATAGAACCTAAAATTGTAATATTAAATTCAATAAGCACAACAAAATTTATATGCATAAAAGAAAAAGATGATTATCAAAATTCTAATGTTAATTTGTCATTTAATATTTATTCAGAATATATACCAATTTCTACTAATAGACTTAATAATACAGCTATTGAAACAATTATGCAATTATTTCATTATATAGATGCATTTCATCTTATTTATTCATCAAAAGGAAAAATAGGCATTGGTACTCGTTCAGATACTATAATTGGGAGTAAGAAATAAATTTCATAGGCTTGTATTGTTTTTTTTGATTATTTTATATCTTTAAAAATCATCTGGTTTACTTATGCATGCAAATCGTTGTATTGTATATTATGATAAATATATCGATTGTAAAATTCGAGCACCAATTACGATACAAGCAATTAATAATCGATTAACTTATATGTTTCATTGTATTGAACGTCGTCTATAGTTAATAGATTTTCTCTCTTTGAAATTCTTCATTTCTTTTTTTTTCTATTTTATTTAGTTTACAATCTAAAGTTTATCGACAACATCCTAAATTAGTAAAAATTGATAATATTAATAAAACTTTGACTTTTTGATAGTTTCCAAAAATTGCTGGATATTTTTCATTTGGAATAAAAATAGTTATTTATGAACAATAGTTCATTTTGGTACAACTAATTATACAATGGATATGACATCAAGTAATATTTTATTTTGAAATTAAAAAACAAAAAAAAAAAAGAATTGACAAGCATTTTGAAAAATTGGTTTTTTGAATATCATCAAATTTTACTGTACAAATTGTATCATCTATTGATATACAAATTGAATTTAATCGAGAAAAATTTTCATCATTAATATTTTGTCAAAGAAATTTAACAATAGATGAGAAAATTCAAAGTTCAAATCAAATAAAGCAGAGTGTACCTTTTGAAAATTATTATTAAAACATTGTTGTTGTTTTTTTATTAGAGAGAAAATGTTAGAACATTTAATGATATTAATCAAACGACTATTTATACGACTAATTTACATCCTAATAGTTGCTATTGTGTGCGTTTTCATTGTCGTCGTCATGGATCATTTGATACAATTAGCGATGTTGAATGTAATAGATATCAAACTTTAAAGTATTGTTCATAAAAGATATTAGAGAAATGAAGAATACAGAACAACTATGGAATCTTGAGAGATTTGTTAATTTGAAAAAAAGAAATCAATTATAGAATGGTTTAATGAGATGTCAAAAATTTTTTTCAATGATGAATTGATAAAAGTTTAGATAAATAATCTACGATCTTTTTCGGCTAGATCCTGTACAAACTTGATCGGAAAAAATATGGACTGTTAATATATACCAAGCATTTAAGTGTTTAGTATTGTTGTGACGATATTGTTTATACTACTTACGAGAGAGTCTCCTTAGATATTGTCCCCCGATTTCAATGATTTTTTTTGCCTAGAGATATTACATTGTGTTCTAATAAAAACCTTAAAAGGATTTGAGCTACTATTGAGATTTGACTAAGCTATCGAATTTTGAATTAGAGAAATCAACTGAACTAACTTCCATAAAAAAAATTCAGAAGTTTTGAACAAAATCTCTTCGAAATATTAGACTCTCAAGATATAGGCTTTTTTCCATGGATACTGCATACAACATGTATTTTTTCAAAGCTTCATACCTGGAACAAACTTAGCTCAAAATTTCTGAATGTTTTTAATGTAAGCTAGTCTATTTGAATTCTCCATATTTGCAAAGTTTCAGATCAAAATTCGAAAATCTGATTTTTCAGAAAATCTGGTATTCTAAAGATTCTGGAATTGCACCAACACACCCCTGAACTTTTGTTATCGGTAAATGTTCTATCGGTGAAAGTCTTATTGACAAAATTCCGATCAGCCAAGGCCCACAGGATATCTCTAGAAAATAGACATATTAAAAATTCGATAGCTTAGCTAACTCTCAGTAGGAACTCAAATCCTTTTAGAGTTTTTATTAGAACATTATGCAGTGTTAATAGACATCTAAAGTTACAAAAAAAGATTATTTTATTTCCATATAAAATGTCAATAGAAACAGATTGAAACTAATTGTATATCTTATATGAATAATTTCAAAAAAACAACAAGTATTTTTCTTCTTAATGGTTTTTTTTTGCATATTTTTTTAAAAATTTATATTTAGATTTGTGTATGAATTGTGTTATAAGTATTTTTATAAGCATGCTTTGTCTCTTATTCTTCGTTATTATCGCCTTATTGTAAGTATTTCAAAGATTTATGTCTTATTTTTAATATAGGCTTTTTATTAATTAAAAATAAAAAGAAATTAGAATTGCATCAGACAACGACAACAAAAAACGGCAATGTTCTTTGAAGTTTTTTTTTCTTGTTTATGAGAAATAAATTACTTATTTAGAAAACTATGTTATTATTTTAGGGAAAAATAAACGATGACCAAGATACTCTTTTGTTTAAGTCTTTTAATGAAACGACTTGAGATCCATGTAAGGTAATTTCTTATTCTTTTCAATCTTGTATCTTTATACCTATTTTTAATATTTTCTTATTTGTATAAAAAAATCTAGATTGTGTCTCAAGATATTACAACCATACATCAATGATGAAATCAAAACAAGTTAATATATAATATCATCAGCCATCTTTATTTTATTTCTGAATTTTAAATAATAATTTGCACTTAATATACAGTAGCTTTTTCTTTTATATTATGTGCGATGTGCTGAAACTTTTGATACGAAAATAATATGTTTGTTTTCGTTACTTGTACTCTTCTCTTGAACTTAGCAAAAGTAAGTTTTTTTTTCTCTTTTCTTTATTATATGAAGAAAAAAAATAACCTTGTTTCAATGGCCCAAATTTTATTTAAACAACGATGCATAGCAAGTGGTTCGTACATAAAAAATGAAGTCAATTCATTAAGCCATAACTACTACTCTTATTGCAGATCGTTGTTGAAAATTTTAGTTGTTGTCAGGGCAAAAGAAAACATAGAAAAAAAATTTTTTATAATTTTCGACCTTTAAGGTCATATTTTGACGGTATTTTTTCCTCTTCTATATTAGAGAAGACCTTGAAAATAAAAAGGAAAGAAAAAAAAAATCTTAGAAAAACTTCTCCGAAAGTTTTAGCCAACACAAGTGACCTATTCATTAGTTTACACCTCAATTTTATATAAGAAATTGAACAAAAATTCATCATGATTATACGTTCAATTTCTTTTCATCTAGAGAAATTTATTTTAAAATTGTAGTACACTTTCATTGATTTGTTATTCTATGACAGAAATTTCCGTCTTAAAAGAAAAGCGTTGAGTGAATCATTTTATTAGTTGATGAATAAGACAAACATACTCGTGTTTGAAAGAAGCAGAGAAAAACCCTTTGAGACGTAATAAATAGAACAAAGAGAATTTTTTTTGAAACATTTTATTTTTTCTACTTAAGTAAACATGCATGCTGCTTAACTGAGGAATCTATAATGTTGCTAAGCATAATGTATGGAAAATTTGAATAAAATGTTTTTTTGTCGTTTTATTCAAAATCAAAATTTTTGTGAATATGAGTAGTTTTTTATTTGTTTTTTTCTTCATGTTCTCATTCGTTGGTGATTTTTGTATTTTACTTATTTTTTATTATTTTATGTTGTACATTTTATTATATTTACATTAATATACCTTGTTTTCTAAACCAATTATGGCACAAACTAGAATAATTTAAGATTAGATATAATATAGGAAAAAAACAGCTGACGATGATAAATAATCTATCTAACCATAGTTTTAGATTAGTTTAATATATCGACGTTGTGAAATAGTTTGAATAGATTTTTTAGTTATCCATAAGAAAATTTTGTTACATGCACGTTAAGTACGTTCGTATAATTATTAATTGTATTTAAAAATGTGAGGTTACTTTTGCTGGGTTTTTTTTACCTTGAAATTAATGTAACTGGGTTGAATCATATATCTCATCATAAAAAAAAACACTTTTGATATGGTTGTTTTTCTTTTTTCAAGCGAAAAAGAAATAAATTATTTTTGTGCTTTTTTTTTTCTTCTTTCCATTTCGTCAAATATTCGAAAATTATGCTGAGCAGTATGACATCTATGGTTGCATTTTCAGCAATAAATATGTTTTCGTGTAAATACATACATCAATCTTTGAAGATACTCTATTGATCCAAAAAAAACATAATTAATATAATTAACTCTGTCGTCTACTATATTAATATTATCCTTTAATATTTCTTTGATCCATGTGAATATACAATATGTTTTTTTTTTGCATTTAGTAATTTTTCTGTCTGTTAAAAAATGTATTTGTTTCATTTATTTTGAAGACACAAATTTCTTCAAAGTAATAAATATACTCAGTTTTGTTTTTTTTTCAGTCGCAAAGAAATAAGTGAAGAGTACCACGCAACGGACGATTTTTGTTTGCTTTTCATAGCATAAAAAATGTTACATACTCAACAGAGACAATGCCGATTTATGTTTGTTTTCATCTTATTCACTTCAATAAACTTTGGTTATACTCAAATGTCCGGATCGGAATTTCGTTTATCAAATATTGAAATAAGTATAAACATTTTTTTCATATTAGCCTTGAATATATTTTTTTTCTCTTAGTACCTAGTAGGGTTATTATAGATTCAATAAGTACCATTAATTTTACATGTATAAATCATGAATCAAATGATAAACCATTAAAAACAAGTTTATCAAAAATAATTTCATCTAATGAAATTGAAATAAATACTAATATATTAAATAAAACTGCAATTAATATTCAACTTGAAGCAAAAAATTACGTAGGAATTTTCCATTTATTATGCTATAGTAATGGCGAAAAAGCAAGTGGCACTCGTACTGATGTTATTGTCAAAGGTAAAGAATCAACACTGTTTTCATACTGATATTACTTTCACACGACTACATAAATATATCTTTTCTTTTCTTTCTCTTTATAAATATATATACGATTCAAATAAAATAAAAAAAGAATGTATTTTTCAGCTGCGCCAGGTGTGCTTCAACTTGTCGAGCGATGTCGAGTCTATGATAAACAATATATTAAATGTCAGATTCGAGCACCAACCATAGCACGTGCTATTCAAAATGGTTATCCACCTAAATTTGAATTTAATGAAATTAGTCATTCGTAAGTTCTGAACAGTAAAATATAAAAATATTTTCATTTTGTTTTTTTTTTTGTTTTGATTTTCTAGTCCTGATAATTTAGCTTACGTATCACGTGTTGAATTTTTAGAACAAGAAAGTACAAATGAATATTTGACATTTAAATGGAGACCAATTACAGATGGAAAATTTCCACCTAGAGTTCGAATGCATATGAAAGCAATGTTACCTTATTTTAATGTATCATCTTATTATTTTGATATGACACCAGGTACGACGTTTTATATAAAACAAAGATATCTTTTATGGTAAATGATAATGCATTGATAGATTAATATACATCGAGTTCTTCTTACAATAACGAAAATAGATAATTTATTTTGTTACAGGAAAAAAAAACGGATACGATTTGCTGTTAAATATTTACAATAGAGATTATTTTGAAAGTTTTGATTGATTCTGTTGAATGAGAAAGTTCTGTCAGATAATACCCATCAGAAAAATTTCGTTCATTATTGACTGTCTAAAAGAAAATCATTGAGAATCAAAAGTCATCAATTAGAACGAAGATTTTATAATCATTGAAAATAAGTCTTTATAAATTATTTCTAAACAAAGACTATTTTATTATAGGCTAGAGGTACTCCTTGTTTACTTTTCTAGTCTTTGTAGACTCAATATGAGCTCAAATAGCGAGTTATCAGATTCGGTTAGTTCTCTGGTAAGCGAAATCAAAAAGAAACATGTCACCATAATTGTCTCTCAATAAAGAACTTGAACTCTTTGATATTTTATTCAAGTACAGACTATTGTATTGATTCTATTTTGACTACTTCTCTATAGACTGTTGATTTTTTAATGAATAGTTAACATTTATCTCTTTTCGTTAATAAAATATCAAATGCAGACAAGTATATAAAACGATCCTATAATAATTAATTTAAAATCATATATTTATTTAGTTTTTCAAATAACACCTAAATTTACTTTACAACCAATATCATCAAGTGAAATTGAAATTAAACTTTTATCTACATTTTCATCAGTATTTTGTGAAAAAAGTATTATACCAAAATTAAATCCAACTATTAATCAAGTAAATCAAAATTTACATTTAAAAAAATAATTATTTTTTTTTTTGTCTAAATAATTTTTCTATTTAGACATGGACAATTGTCGAAACAAAACGAAATACTACTTTAATTGATAATCTTTTATCTAATACTCTCTATCGTGTATGTATGAAATGTCGACAAGTCTATACTGATCCAGATGGTATAGAAGAATGTCAAGAAAGGAAAACATTGAGTAAATTCAGTAAGATACTAAATAAATTTAATTACAAAAAAAAATTAATATCATTTAATTTTATTAAAGATTTTCTTTATAATCAAAATTATTTTATCGTCATTATAATTATTTTAATCTTAATTTTATGCATTATTATTGGTCTTGTGTTTTAGTAAGTGATTCAATAGATTTTTATTTTATTTTTATAATACTTGGTTTTTTTTTGTATATAGTTTTTCGAGAAATCAACCAAGACATGTATACCGACCAGTAAAATATTTAATATCGTGCTAATGATTAGTATACATAATATGTATTCTAGGTTAATAATGGAAATAAACGAACAAACGATGAAGCAAATTCAAATCTATATATAAACTCTATTGAACATAAAACATCATCAAATGTTTCAATAAGCGTCAGTAATCCAGATTCAGTACACTCAGTAATATATATCTCAATATTGTCTCTTATTTATCATTATTCTTTTTTAGTCTACTCCAGATGACGTGCCTGTTGAGGATGATTCGATAGTTGAAAAGCATAGCTATGACTATCTTCCTATTGCATCAATGCAAGAAATTATAGAAATGTGTTCCCCACCAAAAATGTTATCTCAATCCGAAAATTAATTTCGTTGTTTCGAACAAATACTATACGATGCAAAAAGTAATGGCCCCAAAAAGTTGATGCTTATAGTTTATCGTTAAACGACTTCTGAAAAGAATTTTATGCGAATTATTCATATAGGAAATTTTCTTCTCTTTTATTTTTTATTACACATTCATAAAGAAAATAACACGAGAACAAAGAAAAGTATTTGTAAAAGAAGATTACGATTTTAATATATATAGGCTTGTGAAAAGAAAAAGATCTTGTAAAATAATAGGCGATTATAATTAAATATTATCTTGCCAAATTCTTAC